TGGGGTGGTGGGAGGGGAGGGGGAAGGGGGAGTTGTGGGGGTGGTGGGGTATGGCGGGAGGGGGGGTTCTGAGGGTGGTGGGGGCGTGGTGGGGGGGAGGGGGGCTTGTGTAGTTTGTGAGAGGTCCCGCTCCCCCCGCACTCACTGTCCATTCCGGGGAACGGGAGAGGCTGCGCCCCCAGCTGCTGCTCCACCGCGATCTCCAGCTCGAACCTGATGTGCTCCACATTGGAAATGAGCTCCTGCATCCTCCCGCCACCTGAGCCGGGCCCGAGGCTTCAACACAACAACAACTACAACTACAACAGCGCCGGATTCCGGAGGGCAGGCCCCGAGCCCCGAGCACCGAGCACCGGGATCCGCTCAGCCCCTGCTCCAAACAACGAGCCGGCCCCCGCATCAAGAAGCGACCCGTCGCCAATCACAGCGCCCCCCACTGTCCTGGAGGAGCGGGCAGCCGCTCCTGTACTAAACAGAGTGTCTCCTCTTCACTTTGTGTCCCTTGGATTGACAGGGTCCCTTGGATTGACAGGGTTTGCATTTGCCTAGCACCTTTCACCACCTCAAGCGGTTCCAAATCCATTTACAGCTAATGAAGTGTGTTTGATATGTAGGCGATGTTATAATCTTGGAAATATTTGGCCTTCAGACTCTAACTCATTCCACTTTAGTTCAGGAGCGGGACTGCTGGGATCTGGAGTAAGAAGCCATTTGTTGTTGAGGGTAGAATAATGACAACCCCCTCACCTACTGCAATGTCAACACATACACAGTTTTCTTCTCACAGGCTCCTGGGCTACTGCTACCTGGAGTGATTTGCCAGAAATGCTTCCTTCTCCATCACTCAGCTATTCTCTACATCACTCAGCTATTCTCTATCTCACTTAAAGTGTGATTCTCCTCTTTCTGCTTTCGTGTGTCTCATCTAATAGCAGGTCTACAATTATCAGTATCCCTTGCTTTATACTCAAGCACTTTACAGATAATTCTGATTAATTTTCAATATATTTGTGCCTTACAACGTAAAGGTAGCCATCTCACCTTCAGACTCTATTTGTTTAATGAAGGCAGTGTCATGCCTTCAGTCAGTCACCTACATGTATGTGATGTCCAGTAACATAAGTAAGCACAGAACCCAGACTCTCAGAATAGTTGCACGTAGTTTAGAGTTAACATTTGTGATAACTGTGTTACATGTCCACCAAGGCATTATTGAATATATAGATATATAGATATAATAATATATCTCTATGCATCCTTGTACATGACATTGGAATCTTTGAAGTCACCGTCGAAGTGCCAAAGCATTTTATTCTTCTTATCCCTTCAGTGCCCAACGCAAGGAGAGATTTGATGGCCTGTTGTTCTTTGTCAGTTATCTGCTGATCCATAAAGTAAATATTTGATTCTTTACACAAGTGAATTTCTGACAGAATGTCAATGGATTGCTAGTCTATGGTGAAATTTTTGTATTTCCTTTTTGTAGCCTAGTGCTGTCTAAAATGCTAGTATGAAGATCTGTAGTGCTGTTGTTAGCTTGTCTCCTCTTTTCTCTATTTTTAAATGTTACCCCCTTTTAAAGATGCAAGCTTGTGCTTGTAAGTGGCCTCTGCACAAAAAAAATGTAGTAGTAATAATGGCTATTTGTTATTCTCATGCTGTTTCAGGAAAATAGTGGAAGTGCCTGGTATCAGAACACAGGTCCCATAACTTTTTTCTGTACTTAGTTACAGAACTGATTTCTTAGATCAGGAAGGCTGTCCTTCCACATTTTTAAATTGCATATTTTTAAAAATCAGAGCTGTCCTGGGCCTCTGGTAAATTGATGTTTTGTTTTAAACATTGGAGTGTCTAGCACTTTATACCACTTTTTTTTAAAGAGCAGAGTACTCACTACACTTCATTACAGGTTGTAGACATTAATTTTACACCTATTACTCTAGTGTTGATTGTAGTTGCAACTTCAGCTCTAATCTCAGTCAGATTGATGGAATACTGTCAGGAAAAAGACTTTTCAGAATTGTTACACTATTATCATCTTTTCAGGCCTTTAGCATCCACTTACTGCAACTAACCCACCTTCACCACTAGCTTTTAATACCCATTTACTGCCATCATGATATGCTTTGTGGGTTCCTTTATATATTCGCCCACATTACAATAGAGACTTAGGTTCTTTTTGAGATAGATATCTTAAAGTTTATTTACAACACTAACCAGTTACACAGAGCTGACTAACTAAAGCTATGACACTGAACCTTTAGTACAGAGAGACTGAAGTGGGTACAGGTACCTTTATACCAGAACGTCACATTGCCTCATAGGATACACGCCTGTGTTTAGATTCTGTGCCATAACAAAATACCTTGTGTAAATATATGCTATTTGTTGAAGTGGGAATAATGTTGCCAAACAACTTAGCAATAAATTACATGTACATAATGCTTTTACCAACCAGATATGAGGCACATGCAACTGGAGAAGGAATAATGGGGAATAGTGACCATAAACTTGGTCAAAAAAAAGAGGGATTTGAAGGGAAGGGAATTCCAAGGAATAGTATGTGGGAAAGCTGCCCTCCTAATATGCAATCTTGCCTTTGCACACACTCCATGCTGTATGCTGTTGTGTTTTATAAATGGTATTTCTAAAGCAGACTCTAGACATTGAAATCAGTGGGGAGAGTTCGCTTGCTCGAAACTCTATTGCACTGGTCTCGGAGCGAGCCTCCCACTGATTGACATTGATTGCGACCAATCACATTGAGGGTTCTGGGCGAGAATGGCCCAATCGTATCTCTAACCTCTGTATGTTGGCCAATGGCGATATTTGTGGGCGGGGACTCTCCAGACCGGAAGCACATGGGGACAACTGGAAGGGATTGGTTTCAAGGAGAAATGTTTATTAAAATCCTCAAGGATGTTTAGATTCTCTGCTGTAAGGATGATGTATGGTGGGTATCTCATCCTGTGTTATTATATTTAGCCACTAGTTCTCTGTACATACTGACACTTTATGTCAATGTAGAAAGTGCTGGAGAAACTTAGCAGGTCTGGCAGTGTTTGGGAATGTACCGAGATACAGTGAAAAGTGTTGCTTTGCATGCCGTACAGACATATTGTACCATACAAAGTGCATCAGGATAGCAGAACAGAGTGCACAATACAGTGTTACAGCTGCAGAGAAGGTGCACAAAGAGATCAGAATTAACCTTAAAGAGGTCTGTTCAAAAGCCTGATAACTGTGGGAAAGAAGCTGTTCTTGAATTTATTTGTACGCATATTTAAACTTCTTTGTCTTCTGGTTTGACTGATAGATTGGGCAATGTTCACAACTCTCTGTAGTTTCTTGCGGTCTTGGGAAGAGCTGTTGCAATACCATGCTGTGATACATCCAGATTGGATGCTTTGTATGGTGCATCTGTCAAAATTGGTAAGAGTCCTTGTTGCCGTACTGAAATTCCTTAGCCTCCTGAGGAAGTAGAGATGGTGTTCTGCTTTCTTGACTGTCGTGTTGATGTGGATGAACTAGGAGATATTGTTGGTGATCGACACTCCCAGGAATCTGATGTTCTTGACCATCTACGCCTCAGCACATTGATGCAGACAGCAGAGTGCCCTCCACTCCACTTCCTGAAGTCAATGTTCAGCTCCTCTGTTTTGCTGACGTTGATGGAGAGATTGTTGTCTTTATACCATGAGGCTAAGCACTCAATCTCTTTGCTGTATTCTGTGTAATGATTATTTGAGATCTGACCTACAATGATGGTGTCGTCAGCAAACTTGTAAATAGTGTTGGGTTCCAATTTGGCCACACAGCTATAAGTGTATGAGGAGAATAGTAGGGTACTAAGTACACAACCTTGAGGGGCTGGTGTTGAGGATTATGGTGGAGGAGGTGTTGTCGCCTATTCTTATTGATTGCAGTTTATGGGTCAGGAAGTCACGGATCCAGTTACAGAGTGGGGAGCCAAGATCGAGGCATGGTGGTGAAGGTGAGTCGTGTGGGAAAATAAAGGACTGAAGGCAGTAAAGGAAGGATCTAGATCCTTTTTTTACCATTAACACACTTTGTTGCTATTTGCATCCTCGCCATCGTTTCGCTCGCTCTGCCTCCCCTTTGTCAAATACCAATAAAAAAATCACGGGCCAGCCCCCTTCAGTTACTCAGTTACTCTTGCCACATTTGTCTGTCAGATCTGCTGTATTCCTGCAGCACTTTGTTTTTATTTCAGATCTCCAACATCCTTAGGATATCGCTTTTATTAAATTTCATCATCTGCTTTGGTGGAATACGAACACACATGCCCAGAACATTCATTGGGAGTTTTAGATTACTTAGTCCCATGACATTATCACACCAAAGAGTCATACAGCATGAAAACAGACCTTTCGGTCCAACCAGTCCACACCGACCGTGTTTCCAAACTAAATTAGTCCCACCGGCCTGCGCTTGGCCCATATCCCTCTAAACCTTTCTGTACCTGCATCTCCCACTTTCTCTGGCAGTTCATTCCACACACGAACCACATTCTGCAAAAAAGAAAATTGCCCCCATGTCCTTTTTAAATCTTTCTCCTCCCACCTTAAAAATATGCCCCTGGTTTTGAACTCCTCCACCCTTGGGAAAAAACTTTTGTTATTCACCTTACCTATGCTCCTCATGATTTTATAAACCTCTGTAAGGTCACCCCTCAACCTCTTATGCTCCAGTGAAAAAAGTCTCGTCCTTTCCAGTATATATTTGTATGTCAAACCCTCCAGTCCCAGCAACATCCTGGTAAATCTTTTCTGAACCGTCTCCAGTTTAATAATATCCTTCCTAGAACACAGTAACCAGAACTACATACAGTACTCCAGAAGAGGCCTATCCACTGTCCCGTATAACTTCAACATGACGTTCCAACTCCTCTAAGCAAAGGTCTAAGCAATGAAGGCAAGTCTGAACCACCCTGTCTACCTGTGACGCAAATTTCAAAGAATTATGTACTTGAAACCTGAGGTCTCTTTGTTCTACAACACTACCCAGTGCCCTACCATTAATTGTATAAGTCCTGACCTTGTCTGTATTACCAAAATACAATACCTCACATTTATCCAAATTAAACTACATCTGCTACTCACATTTGATCTTGATCTCTTTGTAATCTTAGATAACCTTCTTCACTGTGCACTATACCACCAATTTTAGTGGCATCTGCAGACTGCCTTCCTACCTCCTAAATGGCCTTCTCCTTTATATATTATATTGAGTCATCTACTGCTTGCTGTTATCCTAAAGGTTAGAATGATTGCAACTTTATATGAACACAGCAAGAGCAATCCTAAAGCAAAGACCACTGGAGACGGTGCAAAGAAGATTTACGGGAATCATACCAGAAATGTCTGGATGTATGTGTCAGAAAAGGTTTAAGAGGATAGATCTTATATGAAAATAAAAGGTTGGGGGTGACATGTTTAAAATTATGAGAGGTTTTGATAAGGGTGAACACGTAAAATGTTTTCTCTTTTGGTGAAGAGTGTAACTATAGGCCATCAGTAAATATAGTCTTTGAGAAATGCAGTGGGGAATTCAAAAGAAACTTCTTTGCCCAGAAAAGTGCTTGAAATGAATAGTATTTAAGGAGGGCCAATAAAGCATAAGAGGTGGAAAGGAATAAATACCGTAGCCTCTGGAGACCTGAAATAAAAACAAAAATTGCTGGAAATACTCAGCAGGTCCAGAAGCATATGGAACAAGAAACCAGAAGTAACATTTTTGGTAAATGAGACTTTATCAAAATGGGAACATAGAATGCCTGGAGTGCAGAAAGAGGCCATTTGGCCCATCAAGTCTGCACCACCTCTTGGAAGAGCATCCCACCCAGACCCATCCCATCCCTGTAACCCTGCGTGGGGTATTACCCCATGGCTTAAACCATCTAACCTGCACATCCCAGGACACTATGGGCAATTTAGCATGGCCAGTCCACCTAAACCTGCACATCTTTGGACTGTGGGAGGAAATCAGAGCAGCCAGAGGAGGAAGGAAGCGTGGAGAATTTAACAGAGGGAGGGCTGCTCTGGTTCAGGAATGTGGTGTAAGAAAGCTTATCAGTCCTGAAGCAAAACCTTTAAAACTGTAATCAGTCCAGCAAAAAGGGCAGAAGGCACTTAATCTCCATAATCCTCATCATGCTGAAGGTACAGAGAGGTGTCTCCTGGCAGAGATCATCTCCATTTTTAATATATTGTTATAAAGATATTTATATATACAAGGGGAAATGTTAACTGTGTTTTGCACTTATCAGATGCTGCATGAGTATTTTCAGTTTTAACTTATGTATTCGTTGATCTCTGCCACCGTGATCCATGTTACCAAAATGTTTGATTATGCTATCCCTGATTTTTCACCCTGCACCTCAGCATCTATGATTACAAGCAACCTTCACACGGTGAATTCAATTTTATTAATCTTGTGTAAAAGTTCATGTCTAACACAGATTTTCTTTTTAAACTTAGCACTCCATTCTGCAGAATCTTGAGGGAAGCTAGAAGGACTTTGCAAAACATGGCCTGGCCTTGGTTTTTACCGCTTCAGCATTCCCGGACATACCTTCCCATGAGACTTTGCTCTTCCCTGTGTTCATACCTGGCCCCATTCAGACATTTGAGCACTTTTATGAGGAGTAGCCCTGTGAGAGCTGTGTCTCCTCGAAATGTGACTCACCCCAGGAATTTACTGTTTTGGAATCATGGATGGACGGGTTTACCCAGGATGGTCAGCAACGGCCAGAGCTGCGACACGGAAGACAGGCAGATTCCAGCCTCACCCGGCCAGGACTCATCAGTTCCCTCATCTGGGAATGAAACTGACTTGGAAGGATTTGGAGAAAGGGGCAGAATCTACTCTTCCAGGAGATTTTTCCGCAAAAGCTCTCCAGAGCTGCAGGATTCCAGACACCGTGACACCGAGGATCAGGATGAGGAGGAGACTGAACGTCTTGAAGTGAGACGCAAGCCACGCCGAAGGAACACGACGTACTGGTACTTTCTGCAGTGCAAGAAACTCATCAAGGAAGATAAGGTCTGGAGCTTAGTTAAACGGTGTTGCCAGTCTTAGAAAATGTAAAGCTTTACAGCACAGAAGGGGGTCATTTAGCCCATCTGATCTATGCCAGATCTCAAAAAGCAATACAGTCAGTCCCACTGCATTCCCCCATAGCTCTGTAGGATTATTCCCCTTAAGTGCTTGTCCGATTCCTTTCTGAAGTCATTAATCAGCTATGCTTCCACCACTCCTGTCAACAGTGTGTACCACTCACTGTGTTTAAAAAAAAACTTTCTCACCCCCTTCTCCCTCCCCACCCTCACCCCAAAAACCTCTTGTCCAAAACTTCATTTATGTTTTCTCTTTGTCTTTGCATGATCAACTAGTGGCAACAGCATTTTTCGTCTGTGTACCTATTCAACATAATCTCATCATACCTCCCAAAACTCTCCCCAAGCTGTTTTTTTCCCAAGAAGAACAATCTCATCTTTTCTAACTTAATCTTGAAACTAAAATTCATAATTCCTGGGACCATTGTTGTACTTTATCTCTGCATTCTCTCAAGGACAAGGACCCTCGCATCCTTGGGGTGACGTGGTGGCTCAGTGGTTAACACTGCTCTGTCTTACAACGCCAGGGACCCAGGTTCGGTTCCACTCTCAGGCAACTGTCTGTGTGGAGTTTGTATATTCTCCCCGTGTCTACGTGGGTTTCCTCCGGGTGCTTCGGTTTTCTCCCACAGTCCAAAGATGTGCAGGTTAGTGTGGATTGGCCATGGGAAATGCAGGGTTACAGGGATAGGGTTGCGGGGAGGGCGGTGGGTATGGGTGGGATGCTGTTTGGAAGGTCGATGTAACTCGATGAGCCAAGTGGTCTGTTTCCACACTGTAGGGATTCTATGATCCTTCCCAAAGTGTGGGACCAAAAGCAAATACGAAACAAGAAGGAACAATCTGTTCCAGTCAACTGCAGGCTCTGGTTTACACAGAACAGAGTGTGCTTAATAGTGACTGGAACAGACCCTTTTACACTCTTTCATCAGCACTGCCTCGAGTCTAGCTAATTTTATTTAACCTGTCCACTCCCCTCCTGCAAAAGACATGTCAGTTTTGCCTTCTCAACAGCACGACCATTTTGGATCATTCTATACTGATAAGAAAATGATTTGTGAATCACTGATCACCTGACTCCCAATAAAGACTATTGATATTCTCCCAAATTAATGTGCGTATGTGATATTGACCAAGGAAATAAGTCCATAAGGTGAGATCAGAAGGAAGCTTTGGTTGATTTTTCTTTAAGGGACAGTTCCATAAATAAGAGAAACCTTTGATTTTTTTTTTAAAGAATTCCAGTTGAGTATGTGCCAGGAGTGTTATTAATGGAATGGATTCTGACTAGTTGGAGGCTATGTGGGCGAATAGATTATTGCAGACTCCACTGTCATGGAATAGCGGTGGCCCTTCAGCAAAGGTCAATCCTTTCAGAATGTGGGGTTTTGCAATCTGCAGCACTGAACCCCCAAACAGGTATAGGATTGTCAGCCACTGTACAGTGTCTGGTTCAGCCTAGATAGAGAACTTGAGTTCTCCAAATTGTGATTTAAGGAAACCAGAAATATCGGAATTAAAACTACTTTGCAGTTGTAGGATTTATGACCCGTGTATAACTTTTAGGAATAGAAATGCACTGATGCAGTTTAACATAGTCATCACTCCCACCCCACTTACCAACCACATCCCTTTATCCCTTCTTATCCAGTGCTTCATTGGGTTGCCCAAATACCTTAGTCCAAGAGCTCATTATCCTTGTGTTTGAAGTGTTTTGTTTTAGTTACCTTTTCATTTTGTTTTACACGTTTGAACAGTTAATCCAGGTCAATTCTGTCAGTCTCCTCTCTGATTAAACACTGCTGTTTGATCAGCTCAGTGTACATTTTATCCCTGAGCGCGTCCAATTTCTGCCATACTTTCTCATAAACAACACTCCCAAGATATGGTGCCATCCTTATATTACGCCCTTTCAAGCGCAGAACTACCCTAGTTTTGTGACCAGAATTGTACACGGTAATCAGAATGTGGAGACGAGTCTAATAATTTACACATTATCAGAATCTCCTCAGCCAATGGGCCTTTATTGTTACTATTGCTGAGGTGTTGGATTGAATGCTTCAGTCGTTTTCATGGTTAGCACGTTGATGATTGTTCCAACACTTACTCCCTGTGTCTTTCTCACACCGGTGGCATTTTTCTTTCTAGTTGGCTGAGGCACTGCACATGTTTGAGACTCAAATGGTTAAAGAGGAGCGGCTGATCCCAGAGGAGTACAATTACACAGTGCTAATAGGGGGCTGTGGACGAGTGGGCTACTTGAAAAAAGCCTTTCAGCTCTACAACGACGTGAGTACTGGAGACTATGTTGCTTTTCTGATCAGGGATTTGTGAAATCCATTTCTGGGTGAGAAGGGAATTTGATTCCAGTTCAGACCGTGGCCTGTGAGTCTAAGCACAGGCAAGACAGCCCCCTGATGCTCAGGTCACTTCATCCTATTCACGCTTATTTACCATGACCTAGTGGTATTATCACTGGACTATTAATCCAGAGACCCTGCTAATGTCCTGGGGACCCAGGTTGGAATGCTGCCACAGCAGATGGTGGAATTTGAATTTAATTTTTAAAAAATCTGGAAATAAGAGTCTAATGATGACCATTGTCGCTTATTGGAAGAACCCATCTGGTTTACCAATGTCCTTCAGGGAAGGAAACTGCCATCCTTACCTACATGTGACTTCAGATCCACAGCAAGGTGGTTGATTCTTAAACTACCCTCAGGGCCATTAGGGATGGGCAATAAATGATGGTCTAGCCAGCAATGCCCTAATCCCATGAATGAATTTTAAAAAATGCCTTTGTGGAATTTTTCCACACCCAGTGGTTTGGACAGAGCTGTTCTTAAACTGCCAAATAGTTGGTGGAGAATCCTTCATTACATGAGGTTCATGTGGAAAAATGGCCTTGAGACCCTGTGCTAGCACCCAAACTACTCTATTCTAGAATTCTAGAACAATGTCTTTGTGTTTGTTTGGTTGTGCTGCTGTGAAAGACCTTGGACATTTTTTTACAGCAGGATTAAAAGTGCCAGTCATTGTTAAAAGAAGAATGAATCATGTTTTTCTTTGCAGATGAAGAAGAGAGCTGTGACTCCTTCTGAAGCCACCTACACTGCTCTGTTCAATGCTTGTGCAGAAACACCATGGAAGGAGTCTGGTCTACAGTTTGCCACAAAGCTCCGGGAAGAGTTAACCAGCAAGAATATCCATCTTAACCTGATTGCATACCACGCCATGTTGAAGGCATTCGCTGTCTGCTCAGATCTAAAGGCCTGTTTTGATGTGCTTCGGGTAAGTACTTGCATGGGGAGCTGACACTTGAGGGGGTTCGGGATCTGCTGGATTCTCCTGATCTCTGTATGCTGAGATCCTGCACATTGTCTGCTCACTGGCCTGGACAAGACAGCTCAGTGGAAGCAACCACTGAGCCGGGTCTCTGGATTGAAGAGGAGGGAGCAAGGTTACAATAATCATTTATTCAATGGGGTAAACGGTAGATTATCACAATCTCAAAATGTTACACACAGGTGATGAATTAATTTGGGATTTTAGCGACTGATACAGACTTTTTTTAAAATTCATTCACGGGATGAGGGTGTCGTTGGATAGGCCAGCATTTAGTGCCCGTCCCTAATTGCTCAGAGGGCATTTAAGAGTCAACCACATTGCTGTGGGTCTGGAGTCACACGTAGGCCAGACCAGGTAAGGATGGCAGTTTCCTTCCCTAAAGGACATAAGTGAACCAAATGGGGTTTTTCTGACAATTGAAAATGGATTCATGGTCATCATTAGACTCTTAATTCCAGATTTATTTTTATTGAATTCAAATTCCATCAACTGCTGGAGCGGGATTCGAACCCTGATCCCCAGAACATTATCTAGCAATAATGCCACTAGGCCATCGCATCCCCATAATGTGTTACACTCTTAGCCTCTATAGAGATGGCTGCCCAACCTGCTGAGTTTGTTTTTCCAGCTTCCACTCTCTCAATTTTAGATTTTTCTAGAATCCACAGATTTCTGACTTGTGATATAAAATCTTGAGGGGATTGACAGGGTAAATATGTCTCGTAGGGGAGTTTAGAATTAAGGATAAGGGGTTTGCCATTAAAGACAGAGAGCTGAAATTTCTGCTCTCAGAGTGTGTTTTATCTTTGGCATTCTCTTTCCCCGTTAGAAATGGTGGGCGTTTAATACATTTAATACATTCAAGGCTTAATTATAATGATATCTGATCTACAGTGATGTCACGAGTTATGGGGGACAGAGAGGAAAGTGCAGATAGACCACAATCAGATCAGCGATGATGTTTTGGACTGGTGGAGCAGGTGTGAGAGGCTGAGAGGCCATAAGTAAGATTAAAGGTAAAGTCACCAGAGTCGAACCAGGCCATAGGGCTGCTCTCTTATAAGAGAGAGAGGGGCATGTGTGTGTGTGTGACCTTATAGACATTTATAAAATCATGATGGGCATGGATAGGATAAATGGCCAAGGTCTTTCCCTCAGGGTCGGGGAGTCCAAAACTAAAGGGCGTAGGTTTAAGATGAGAGGGGAACGATTTAAAAGGGATCCAAGGGACAACTTTCTCATGCAGCACACGGTGCGTGTATGGAATGAGCTGTCAGAGCAAGTGGTGGAGGCTGGTACAATTACAACATTTAAAAGGCATTCAGATGGGTACGTGAATAGGAAGGGTTTAGAGGGATATGGGCCAAATGCTGTCAAATAGGACAAGATTAATTTAAGATATTTGGTTGGCATGGATAAGTTGGACCAAAGCTTGTGTTTCCATGCTGTACAAGCTTATGACTGGTGATGGATTAACTTGAGGGTCACCACACCTCAGGTGAGGGGAGAGGTTGAGGAGGAATGTCATTCCCCCCCACCCCATGCATAGGAATAAGGTAGAAAGGAGGTGATATTAAATTGCACAAGGTACTGGTTTGGCTGCGAATGGCATACAGTGTGTAGTTAGGAATCAGAGCCATGGAAAGAGCATCATGAAGCTTCAATCAAGTGATATCGGGACAGAGTATTGAAATGAGAAAGAACAGCACGTAAAACTGGGTTAGTAACAGATCTCACAGAGTTGCTGCCTTTCTTACCAAAGCTGCCTCTTCTCTTTATTTTTCAGGAAATAGTTCATAGTGGTCATAAGATGAACGTGGAAACATTCAGCACTTTAATGATTGGTTGCATCAAGGACACGGAAAATGGTTTTAGATATTTGCTACAGGTAATCAGAGTGTCATTTCCTCTATGTTCTCTCCCACCCCACATTCTTCACGTTTACTGGACAACCTGGGAGCCACCAGAGACAACCTTTACTCTGATTTCCTCACCTCCTCATCTGGGTTCCCTCTCTCTCACTGAACTCAGAAGAGTCAGAGCATAGCATTTTATAAGGAGGAGGGCAGAACGTACTGACAATTGTCTGTCTTTGTGGGGAGCTGAGTTGTAATCTCTCCAGATTATATAATGATCGATGATATATTGACGTTGCCTTCCTATTGCTCAGCAGTATACTGAGCTGGTGAGTCAGCATGTAGCAGTGGGCTATCACAGACCTCTGCTCACTTTCTTGTATTGAGGTGCTCTTTAAAGGTATTTTTCTTTCATCTTGTAATTTTTTCTTGTTTTCAAAAGCTAACTTGTGTGAAGTAACGGCGACCGTACTAAATGTGCTCTGTAGACTCCTCAAAAGGTTAGAGATCGTAAGGAGCCAAAGTATGAGGAAGCTTCCTGGAACGAGTACTAACTGAAAAAGACCAGGATTTTCAGAAGGCAAAGAAGATGTCAGAGCTAGATAAAACCTAGAATAAAGGAGGAACAATGAAAAGAAATAATTGAAATGATGCAGTAACTTGCACAATCGGGACCCTGAAAGTGCTCTACAGTCAATTAGATACTTTTGAGGATAGGTTAATATTCTAAATGCATATGAACATATGAACCAGGAGTAGGATAGGCCATTCAGCCCTTTGAACCTGTTCTGCCTTTCAAGCCTGATCTGATTGTAACCTCAAATCCACATTCCCTCAAATCCTACCCCGCTAATCTTTAAGCCCCTGCTCAACCAGAATCTATCTGCCTCTGCATTAACAATATTAAAGGACTCTGCTTTCATCAGCTTTTCCAGAAAAAAGTTTACTTGTGAATACATCAGGCAATTTACAACCAGCAAGGCTCCCCAGAGCAGATCGTCTGTTCTGGTGGAAGGTTTCCTGCGAATCAGGAATACTGGAAGAATCTCTGCCCTTGAAATAATGCCAAGGGATCATCTTAAGCCAACAGTAGAAGGTAGAAAAAGCGTTATTGTTGTTGCCGTGAAACGGAGCAGCTACAATAGTTCTGTGATCCTGCAGCACAATACTGAAATGTCACGCTGGAATATATGTTCAAACTGGGGTGGATTTCCAATCTTCACACTCTTGGCATTACCACACTGTCACAGGTGAAACCAAAACCAGTTATAACTTTTGAAACACTGAGGGTGAAGCTTTGCTTAGTGGGTCAATCATGTGATTCAGCAAATTTTTTTGTTTGTTCGTTCATCGGATGTGGGTATTGCTGCTAGGCACCATTTATAGCCAAAACCTAATTGCTCAGAAGGTAGTTAAGAGTCGACAACATTGCTTTGGGTCTGGAGTCATACGTGGGCCAGACTAGATAGGACAGCAATTTCCTTCCTGAAAAGATGTGAGTTACTAGATTTTTTTTGTGGCAATCAACAATGGTTTCATTATTAGACTTTTAAATTCCAAATTTTTACTGAATTCAAATTTCACTGTCAGCTGTGGCGGAATTTGAATCCACGTCCCCTGAACATGATTTGAAGCTCTGGATTATAAATCCACCAACAACACTCATCCATTATCTCCGCGAGGATGGGTTACTTGCTTAGAGTCATCGAGACGTACAGCATAGAAACAGACCCTTCAGCTCAACCCGTCCATGCCGAACAGATATCCCAAATTAATCTGATCCCATTTGCCAGCACTTGACCCCTATCCCTCTAAATCGTTCCTATTCATTTGTCCATCCAGATGCCTTTTAAATGTTGTAATTGTACCAGCCTCCACCACTTTCTCTGGCAGCTCATTCCATACACGCACCACCCTCTGCATGAAGAATTTGCCCTTTAGGATCCTTTTATATCTTTCCTCCTCACCTTAAAAAAACACAAAGATTTTACTGCATTTTCACTCTGTTCTCTGTTACTAGTTAGGTCGATGATTGTAGATATTGTGGCTATCACATGTTCAGAGAATCTCTTTAAATGTTGAATTGATTTTCTTTCTCTCTGCCTTTCTTGCAGATTTGGCGAGAGATGTTAAAACTGGGCGTGAAGCCCGATGTCAAGAGCTACAACTTGCTGCTGCGAGCCACGAGGGACTGTGGTCTTGGGGACCCAGCGGTGGCCTCACGGTTGCTGTTGGCAGATGAGGGTGAAGTCTGGCAGCTGAACCAGCGTGGAAGATTTCGGAGAGTCAAAGGCCGAAAGGAGGCGAGAAGCAGCAAAAACACGACGACTCTGGTGGTTGGTTTATTGGAAGAGCAGCTATTTGGACTGGCTTCTGACCAACCAGCCAGCTACAGAGTCTCTGAACCAAAGGCTGAGCTCAGTGACGAAACTTTACCAAAACTGATGGAAACACAAAATCTACTGTCCGGTGATGGGCAAGAGAAAGCGCTAGTGTCACAAGGAGTGCACTCTGTGGAACTAGTTCCCAGAAACCAAATACTTCCAATTGATTCAGACTCCAGCGAGCTTCCTGAAACTGCGCATCTACCTAACCTACTCGATGTTCAGGTCGACAAGAAGAATATCGTTTCCTTAGGAACGGTAGCTACACCACCTGACAGACTGGCACTGATTGGATATCTGAGTGGCATTCTAAATAAGATGAAGGAAGATAGTGTGTCTCCAGACATTAAAACCTTCACACTTTTGGCTGAAGTGGTGGAACCAAACAGCCAATCCGAGTCTTCCTTGTTAGCCCTCATGGAAGAGCAAGGTGTGAGGCCAGACATTTCATTTTTTAACACCTTCATTCGAAAAAAGAGCAAGCTGGGTGACCTGGAGGGAGCTAAGGTAAGTGACTGTGTCCAGAACCAAGCTTCACTTAAGACTAAAGTGACTCACTTGATCAGACTGACTATTTTATGTTCTCTGCATTAAAAAAAAGGCAAGTGATGTTTCATCAAACTTTCATACGCACTGTCAGATTTTAATGCAACAATTAATAAGGCCACTTTTAGATTACTGCGTACAATTCTGGTCACCCTTCTGTAGGAAAGGTGTTGTTAAACTTGAAAGGGTTCAGAAACGATTTACAAGGATGTTTCCAAGGTTGGAGGGTTTGAGCTATAGGGAGAGGCTGAATAGGCTGGGGCTATTTTCCCTGGAGCATTGGAGGCTGGGGGGTGACCTTATTGCGGTTTATAAAATCATGAGGGGCATGGATAGGGTGAATAGTTAAGGTCTTTTTCTCAGGGTAATGGAGTCCAAAACTAGGTGGCATAGGTTTAAGATGAGAGGGGAAAGATTTAAAAAGGACCTGAGGGGTAACTTTTTCACACAGAGGGTGATGCGTATATGGAATGAGCTGCCAGAGGAAGTGGTGGAGGGTGGTACAATAACAACTTTTAAAAGGCATCTGGATGGGTACATGAATAGGAAGGGTTTAGAGGAATATGGGCCAAATGCTGGCAAATGGGACTAGGTCAGATTGGGATGGCTGGTTGGCCTGGATGAGTCGGACCAAAGGGTCTGTTTCTGTGCTGTATGGCTCTAAAACATGGCGGGAAATTCCAGTAACTCCTAGTTTCTCTCCTAAATGAATGAAACAGAAAAGTGTATCTGGGTGTTTTGGTAAATAATGCCTATCACCATATGCTCCTCTCACTGGGGACAGAAAGCTTCGTGGAATCTGAACATCAGTGAGACAGTAGATTAGCTCTGCCCAGAGGGCTGTTTTTTTAGGTTCATTGGAATCATCTTCTGGAAATTATTGTATGACCTATTTATTTTTAGAGACGATTAGCTGCATTATGTTGTACAGCCTTCTGATTTTTTTAAATTCTAAGAGGTAGAAAAGTGAAAGCAGTTTGGAGAAACTGGAGATTGTCCACAAATCTGGAGTAGCTCATTCCTTTAAAGATTATGGGGTAAGGGTAATCTGATTTACAGAAACTAAACTTCAGATCCTGGCACCAACATTCAATGACTCATTGATCCACTGGGTCATTGATATTTGCTGTGAGATCTTCCTATTTATACTGTTTTGAAAACACGTTATAATGTGTGGATACACATTATGAACCCACTCAGAGCCTTCACCACCTTCAGTAATACACAAGCCTGGATGAAGTACTCAATTTTGTGCCATAGAGTCATTAGCACGAAAACAGACCCTTCGGTCCAACCAGTCCATGCCGAACATAATCCCAAACGCTAAGGATATCAAATGAGGGAGTGGTAGTTTCATCATCAAGCACCTCCAGGTCAGTTACATTTTGTTATGGACACAGTCTAACTCCCTCTGCTCTATACACCCAACACATGCTTGCCCCATCTTGAAGGAGCAGCCCCTACTACATACACTCTTTGTTCATGCCCGTAGCCATTCCTGGATCCAAATTTAAAATCCCAATTAACACAGAAGTGAGCACAGTTCTTTGTTGTGGGGTGGTACCTGCCTGAAACAGAATTGAAAATGGTCAAAATTCATTTCACCCAAGACTGTTAGAGGAAGCAGGGTCATGCCGGCCTGGATACAAATCCAGATCTCGGACGCCAACTTCACTTAACCCAGTGACATTAGTGTCTCTCAGTTTCCAGTAGGTTGATAACAGAGCAATGAAAGAAAGACTAATGTTTTTATAACATCTTTCAATCTTTCGCAATCTCAGGACATCTTGAAGAGCAGCAGAGCCAAAATGCAACTATGTTGTTGAAGTGTAGACGCCACTTTAATGTGGGGAACCTGGCAGCCAGTTTGTGTGCAGCAAGTTGCCGTGAACAGCATTATCTTTGATATCTTTTGACGAAGGGATAAGTATCGGCTGAGATGACTCCTCTGCATTTCCATCCAAAACGGGATCTTTTATGAGAAAACAAATAATCAGAACGTCTCATCAAAAGACAGCATCTCTGACAGTGTAGCAGTCCCCTTTACTGCAGGGGAGTGTCATTTATTTCCTTTATTCATTAACGGGATGAGGGCGTTGCTGGGCAGCATTTATCACCCATCCCTAATTGCCCAGACTCAACCACTTTGCTGTGGGTCTGGTGTCACATGGAGGCCAGACCATGTAAGGATGGCAGTTTCCTTCCCTAAAGGGCATTAGTGAACCAGATGGGTTTTTCCCAACAATCAATAATGGGTTCACGATCACTATTAGACTCTTAAATCCAGATACTTACTGAATTCAAATTCCACCATCTGCAACGGTGGGATTCGAACCCAGGTTCCCAGAACATTATCTGGGTCTCTGGATTAACTGTTCAGCGATAATACCACTAGGCCATCACCTCCCCTCGTCATTCTTCGTGTTCAGCTCTCTGGAGTGAGATGTTTGACTCAGTGGTGAGACTTCTACAAGTTAGCTACATGGAGCAAGTTCTTCTCTGAACCTAGTCCACTGACAATGCTATTTATTTATTCTCCTTAAGGCACTACTGCCAGTACTTGTCAAACAAGGCTTATCACCAACCCTGCACACCTTCTGTAACCTGGCTATAGCCTGCAGAAAAGAGAGAGACGGCCTGAAGCTTCTCCATGACATGAAGGTAATTTGTTTTGACTGTAAAGCATTTTCTGTAGAAAATAATATCCAAGAGAACTTCCAGTAATCATGGAGAACCTTGGTGATTTCCACGCCCTGTTCAGATTTTTTTCTTTAATTTTACACAGCTGATTTGTGAATGATGGTGTAGTCAGAAACATATGCAGAAAGTAGATTTCCAGCTGGCTGAGCCAGGTTTGGGAGTGAATCTTGAAGGAGGGGGGTTGGGTGAGGAAAACAGGAAGGTGTCCTAAAGAATCATCCAAACAATCACAGTCCTCCAACCTGATCCTGAGCGCCTCCTTGTGGCTGATTTCAGAGCATCAATGGCATTGTCTGTTTCACTTAATTGGGGGTGCAATATGTATTCAGGGAAAATTATTAAAGAATAAAAAGGAGCTGTCATTTCTTTCAAATTGGACAAGGTTGATGTGATTAAACAGTTTTGAGCTTCCAAACTCAGGTTGGTAAACTTCTAATAAAACTTGGAAATGATAGAAGCCAGAATTGTGAAGTTTTTATAGCATCAGGAGCTCTTTCAGCCTGTTGAGATCATGCAAGCTCTCTATCGAGCAACCCAGACAGTTCTGTGTCCCTGCCTGATCCCTGCTGTCCTACAAGTGCCTTTTCAATTTTCTTCTGAAATCTTTCATTTTCTCTGCTTCTCCGCCATTCTCAGCCGGAATGGTAAGTGCCTTAGAGGGGGGCTTGCAGGTGGTGGTGTTTCCATGTATCTGCTGCCCTTGTCCTTCTCGATGGAAGTGGTCTTGGGTTTGCAAGGTGCTGTCTAAGCATCTTTGGCAAATTTCTGCAGTGCATCTTGTAGATAGTACCCACTGCTGGTACTTGGCATCAATGGTGGAGGGAGTGAATGCTTGTTGATGAGGTACCAATCAAGTGGGCTGCTTTGTCCTGGATGGTGTCAAGCTTCTTGAGTGTTGTTGGAGCTGCATCCATTCAGGCAAGTGGGGAGTATTCCATCATGCTTCTGACCTGTGCCTTGTAGATGGTGGATACACTTTGGGGAGTTAGGAGGTGAGTTATTTACCATAGCGTTCCTGGCCTCTGACGTGCTCTTGTAACCCGTGTGTTCATGTGGCACTTTCAGCTGAATTTCTACATCTGTGATGCTGGAGACCACTGGAGGAGGCTGAGATGGATCATCCACTGGGTCCTTCTGGCTGAAGATAGCTGTGAAAGCTTCAGACTTAGCTTTTGCACAAATATATGGGGCTCTTCCATCATTGAGGATGGGGATATTTGTGGATCCTCCTCTTCCAGTAGGTTGTTAATTGTCCACCATTTACAACTGAGTTCGGCAGGACTGCAGAGTTTAAATCTGATCTGTTGGTTTTGGAATAGCTTATCCCTGTCTTTCACTTGATGCTTATGTTGTTTGGCATGTAAGTAGTCCTGTTTGGTAGTCCAGGCATGCCCTCCTGCTCTCTCATTTGAACCAGGGTTGATCCATGGATTTATTGTAATGACAGAATGGGGGATATGCCAGGCAAGGTTGTACTGGAGTACAATTCTGTTTCTGTTAATGGCCCAGAGTGCCTTATGGATGCCCAGTTTTGAATTGCTAGATGTGCTTGAAGTCTGTCCCATTTAGTACGATGATAGTTCCACACAGCATGATGGAGGGTACTCTCAATGTAAAGGAAGGACTTTGTCTCTAAAAGGACTGTGTGGTGGTTGCTCTTACTGATGCTGTAATGGAGAGATATACCTGCAGCTGGCAGATTGATAAGGATGAGGTCAAGTATGTTTCTCTGTCTTGTTGGTTCCCTCACCACCTGCCGCAAACCCAATCTAGCAGCTATGTCCTGCAGAACCTGACCAGCTCAGGCAATAGTGCTGCTGCTGAGCCACTCTTAGCGATGGATATTGAAATCCCCTACCCAGTGTGCATTTTGCACTCTTGCCACCCTCAAAACTTCCTCCAAGTATTGTTCAACGTGGTGGAGTACCGATTCGTCAGCTGAGGGAGGATGGTATGTGATAATCAGCAGGAGGTTTCCCATATTTAATCTGAAGCCATGAGACTTCATGCGGTCTGGAGTCAATGTTGAGGACTCCCAGGGCAACACCCTCCCAAATGTATACCACGGTGTTTCCACCTCCGCTGGGGGGATAGGACATATCCAGAGATGGTGATGGAGATGTCTGGGACAATGTAAGTTATGATTATGTCAAGCTATTGCTTGACTAGTCTATGAGACAGCCCTCCCAATTTTGGCATGAGCCCCCAGATGTTAGTAAAGAGGACTTTGCATGGTCAACAGATTCCAGTGCTTAAGCGGTCCATCTGGTTTCATTTCTTTCCTGAGACTTTGTAGTGATTGATACAACTGAGTAGCTTGCTAGGCCATTTCAGAGGGCAGATGAGAGTCAACCTTATTGCTGTGAATTCAAATTCCACCATCGGATTTGAACCCAGGACATTAGGTGAGTTTCTGGATTAACAGTCTAGTGATAATACCACTAGGTCATCCCTCCCAACTAGGGAAACCATTAAGTATAAATTGGATTTTAATCATGACCAGAGAATGAAATAAAGATTGGGAAAGCAGATGGGATTATGAGAGACAAAAGAGATGCACAGAAATGTTTTATTTTCCTAAACTTCAGTAAAAATTTGCTCTCAAGAGTGTTTTTTGATGCTCCCCTTGCGTGCTTATCCTAATTACATTAGAGCCTCCTGTGTCCAGTTACCTATTGTTTCATTAACTAACTGACCATTTGAGTTGGATATACACATCTACGCAGCTCCCCCCAATTTTCCTGTCTCTCCTTATAACTTTAGTTAGCAGAGAAATTGGTAGAATGGTTTCCTGCCTAATGAATGGCATAAAGCAGGATATATCTGTATGGTGGTCTTGCAGCTGAACTGACTGCAGTCACGGCCCAAGATCATGGAGAGGTTTCTACCAGTTTGCTATCTTTCCCACAAAGAAGTTGAATGTTACCAGGAATCCTTAGAAGTTCCCTGCTTAGTGTGCTTAAACTACTACTAATTGATTAACCACTTCGTCTTCAATGATTTTCTTTCCAAATTGGTGTTTCACCTAGGTTTTTGATAAGTATTTATATGGCTGTGGGATTACTGAAATTTTCCCATTATTTCAGATGTCTGGATTAACCCCCAATGTCAATGTGTATAGCACCTTGATCAACAATGCAACAAAGCAGTTGGACTATGCATATCTCACAAAGATCCTACAAGATATGGCAAGAAATCAAGTACGACCCAACGAGGTCGTCCTTAGGCAACTGGAATTTGCAGTCAAGTATCCTCCAAAATTTGACAAGGTACATTAATTCTTATACTTTAGTGAAAGAGGGTTTTTTTGGAGCAGCAGTGTCACTAAGGAAATAAGGTGGGTATCAGCCGACACGCATCCATCTCCTTGACATGAAGCATTCTTCAGCCACTCCTTGAGGGATGTGATTTTAACTGCCAAAACTTTCTTTCATTCTCTCAGTGCCTAATGTTAGAAACTGGCTGTATGCCAGTGCCAATGCAACAATTTCAAACTGTCAAAGCAAGGCAGAGTGACGTGATGGGCACATACTCGAATATTATTTCCAATGGGGACTTGCTGTTTTCAGTAGTCCTGATGCAGTGTTTTAATTTGTGTAGTGCTTCAAGCAGCAATTGGAGCCAGAATGGGAATGGTATAAGTGACAGACAAATCACTCCCAT